TTTAATAAAAGTTTATGCATGCAAAAGGAAATAAAAACACTAACTCATTTACACCTTACCAGAGCTATTTGAAATAGTTTCATTACAAATACCATAAATAAAATTTCAAAGCATTTACATTCAACAACAAACTCTAGTGAAGGGTCACCCTACCTGCATTTTATTGTTCCTTGTTCAGCTAGCCCCAGGGGTTATTTGTTGCAGACCTTTCTTCTTACTGACTTCTAAACAATTTTAGAGCAAACATACAGGATTTTCATATCTTCACTTTCCAGAAATTTCAATTTCTCTTAAATCATATGAAGACCATAAGAAATAGGAACAGGAGTAGGCTATTTGGCCCCTTGAGCCTGTTCCACCACTCTCTTTCACTCTTAAGCTACTCAAGAATTCTTTCCAACCCTGACATTTTAAAGATTGATAAATTAACAGGAGCTATTAACTCTGACTGAAACTGCACACAGTGCCTTTCTAAAATTAACTTGTTTCTTTTTTTGTCTCTCTATTTCATAGGATACAGAAGTGGAAACATATTCTCTGCACATCTGGAAAAGCTCAGCAGGTCTGGCAGCATCTGTGAAGAAAAGAATCAGAGTTAACATTTCAGGTCCAGTGACCCTTCATCAGAACAGTTGCTTTTCCAGCAACTTCTGTTTTTGTTCCTGACTTACAGCATCCCCAGTGTTTTTGGTTTTTTTCTCTACACATCTACCTTGTCTAATTCATACGTAATCTTGGATCAATCGCAATGAGGGTTAACATGTGAGTCTTCTCATTTCTGAAGAGCCCCAGTCTGTTCGATCTTGAATAGAATATTGAATTTGGTTTCTTGCACACTAAATGTACCTAATTAACATTTAATTGTGGACCACGCACTTTTACATTTATTTAAGTGTTAATAATGTCTGATTTCCTTTTCATTGAATGCCATTGAAAATTTCCCTCAATGGGAGGGAACATTCCTGTCTGGTGATTGTTGCGTGGTGTCCATTCATCCACAATTGTAGTTGGGGAACACTTTAGCGGTCAAGGTCATTCAGCCTCCGATCTTCAGGTAAGTGTCCTCCAATGCAGCCTTCAAGATATACAACAACACAGAATCACCGAACAGAAACTAGTAGCCAAGTTCTGTACCCACAAAGACGGCCTCAGCTGTGACCTTGGGTTCATGTGCGCTACATTTAATTCCACTATTCTGTTCTGTGTTTGTAAAATCTCCCTTATAGTCCTGTTTTGACACCATCACCTTGATAACTTGTTATGATCTCTCTACCTTAATTTGTTTGTACAGTTTTGGATTACTTGTTACTCTGGTTAGATTCTCGGCATGCGACTCTTATACCCATCATGTTATTCCAGCCATTTGGTTTGTCTCCAGCACCATCTTATTTTTAATTTTTTGTATTATCTCTCTGCCTCAATTAATCAGATTATAGGCCATCCCTTCACTTGCCATACAGCTGTTGACACTTTACTCATGCCATCTGACACTTTGATCACCTGCAGATTCTTATTATTCAGGCTGTAAACACTCCACTCACGCCATTTGTACGATCTTTTGATCTCTCTACCTTTAAATTCTGTGCCTATGTGCTTCTCTTCACTTCACCTGATGAAGGAGCAGTGCTCCAAAAGGTTGTGATTTAAAATAAACCTATTGGACTATAACCTGGTATCGTGTGACTTCTGACCTGGTCGAAAGAGAGACAGGGTTGTGAAGAAGGTGTTTGGTTCACTTGCCTTTTTTGGTCTGTGCAATGAGTACAGGAGTTGGGATGTCATGTTGCGGCTGTCACACATCTCCTTCTGAAAGCCTGGAAAAAGATGCAGTCTTTTGTTGGAGGTTCATCCCCAGCAGCTCCGTGACGCCGTGCTCTGTGGTCTACAGTCTGTTCTCCTGGGGACACACTGAGACAAACATCAATTGTGTCTGGAGGGCCATCAATTCGGTGAATGGCACTATTTGGTCTACTCGAAACGTCTTGGTCTTCGAGTAAAGAGTTGATCCTGACCACGTCTTACAGATTGGCACATTCCAAGGTCCAGGACCACGTGCTGAGGGATGCACTAAAGCTCGGGACAGCTACTGCCAAGGTGCAGTGGGAAAGACCACTGTGTCTTCCTGCTGAAGGTAAATGGGGCTCCTTTCAGTTATCGGACCCTCTTATTGCTGGAAATATATCTAAATGTTAGTATTGTATGTTTAAGAGAGGTGTTTGTACTGTTTGGGTAGAATGAAAGTCCAATGTTCTGTTTGTTTACTTGATATGCAACTGTACAGAACCGAACTACATGTGTGACAGTATATGTACACAAAGATAACACAGTGTGGAGCTGGGGGAACACAGCAGGCCAGGCAGCATCAGAGGAGCAGGAAAGCTGACATTTCCGGTTGGGACCCTTCTTCAGAATTGGGGGAGGGGGAAGGGAGTTCTAACATAAATAGATAGAGGAGAGGTGGGGCTGGGGAAGGTAGGTGGGATGGTGATAGGTGAATGCAGGCTGGCAGTGGTGGGGACTAGTCAGTGAGGTGGGAGGAGCAGATAGGTGGGAGAGAAGACAGACAAGTCAAGGAGGCGGGGATGAGAGGGAGATAGGTAGGAGAGAAGACGGACAGGTCAAGGAGGCGGGGATGAGAGGGGCAGGAGAAGGTAGGGGGGATGGCGATAGGTGAGTGCAGGTAGGCAGTGGTGGGGATTGGTCAGTGAGATGGGTGGAGCCAAAGGTGGGAAAGAAGACTGACAGGTCAAGGAGGCGGGGGTGAGAGGGAGGTTGGTCATGGGATGAGGCTGGAGGTGGGGAGATTTTGAAACCCACATTGTAAAGCCCACATTGAGACCATTGGGTTGTAGGCTCTCAAGGCAGAATATGAAGTGCTGCTCCTCCAGTTTCTGGGTGGCATCGTTGTGACACTGGAGGAGGCCCAGGATGAACATGTCGTCCAGGGAATGGGAGGGGGAGTTGAAGTGGTTCGCGACTGGAAGATGTTGTCATTTGTCACGAACCGAGTGCAGGTGCTCCACAAAGCGGTCTCCGAGCCTCCGCTTGTTTACCGATGTAGAGGAGGCCACATCAGGAGCAACGGTTGCAGTAGACCACATTGACAGATGTGCAGGTGAACCTCTGTCTGATGTGGAAGGGTTTTTAGGGTCCTTGGATGGAGGTGTGGGGGAAGGTGTAGGGGCAGGTGTAGTATTTCCTGTGTTTGCAGGGAAAGGTGTCAGGGGTGGTGGGGAGTGTGGAGCGGACAAGGGAGTCACGGAGGGAGCAGTCCCTACGGAAAACAGATGGGGTGGGCAGGGAAAAATGTCCTTGGTTGTAGGGTCAGATTGCAGGTGGCAGAAATGGCAGAGAATGATACGTTGAATCCGAAGGTTAGTGGGGTGATACGTGAGGACAAGGGGGATTCTGTCTTTGTTTTTGTGGCGGGGAGGGGGTGTGAGGGCTGAGGTGCGGGAAACGCAAGAGATGCGGTCGAGAGTGTTTTCGACCACTGAAGGAGGGAAGTTGCCATCCTTGAAATACGAGGACAACTGGGATGTTCGGGAGTGGAACACCTCATCTTGGGAGCAGATGTGGCGGAGGCGGAGGAATTGGGTGTAGGGGATAGCATTCTTGCAGGAGGGTGGGTGAGAGGAGGTGTAGTCTAGGTAGCTGTGGGAGTCAGTGAGCTTGAAATAGATATCAGTTTCAAGTTGGTCACCAGAGATGGAGTCAGAGAGGTCCAGGAAGGAGAGAGAGGTATTAGAGATGGTCCAGGTGAACTTGAGGTTGGGGTGAAAGGTGTTGGTAAAGTTGATGAACTGTTCAAGCTCCTCGTGGGAGCATGAGGTGGCGCCGATACAGTCATTGGTGTAGTGGAGGAAGAGGTGGGGGATAGTGCCAGTGTAGCTGCGGAAGAGGGACTGTTCCACATATCCTATGAAGAGGCAGGCATAGCTTGGGCCCATGCGGGTTCCCATGGTCATGCCCTTAGTCTGTAGGTATATTTCTGAAATTAAAAAGATGTTGCAGCTGTACAGGACATTGATTAGGCCACTTTTGAAATACTGTGGTCAATTCTGGTCTCCTTGCTATAGGAAAGATGTTGTTAAACTTGAAAGGGTTCAGAAAAGATTTACAAGGATGTTACCAGGTTTGGAGGGTTTGAGCTATAGGAAGAGGCTGAATAAGCTGGGGCTATTTTCCCTGGAGCATTGGAGGCTGAGCAGTGACCTTATAGAGGTTTATAAGGTCATGAGGGGCATGGACAGGTAAGTAGACAAGGTAAAAACCGAAAGAACAGCAGATGCTGTATATCAGGAACAAGAACAGAAGTTGCTGGAAAAGCTCAGCAAGTTTGGCAGCATCTGTGAGGAACAAATCAGAGTTAACGTTTCAGATCAGGTGACTCTTCCTCAGAACATTGTGTGTAAATAGACAAAGTCTTTTCCTAGGGTAGTCCAAAACTAGAGGGCATAGGTTTAAAGTGAGACGGGAAAGATACAACAGAGACCTAAGGGGCAACGTTTTCATGCAGAGGGTGGTGCATGTAGGGAACGAGATGCCTGAGGAAGTGGTGGAGGCTGGTACAATTACAACATTTATTTGGTACCTGGATGGATATCTGAATAGAAAGTGTTTAGAGGGATATGGGCCAAATGCTGACAAATGGAACTAGATTAATTTAGAATATCTGGTCAGCGCAGACGATTTGGACCAAAGGGTCTGTTTCTGCTGTACATCTCTATGACTCTATTTGTCAAGCATGATTTCCCATTGAGTGAATCCATGCTGCCTCGGACTGATTCTGTCACCACTTTCCATCCCTGGGAAACCACTGACAGTGTCTTCTTCCTCACTGCAGCCACCTCAAGGGCAACATATAGTGGAGGGTGGCACTCTGGGTACGGAGGAAGGATCTGACTGGGAGGGTCTTTGTCACCGCCAGCCACATAATACTGATCTGAATTGATTGACAGCTGATCTGAAGTATCTCCCCATCACCAGGGCGATGCACTGTCCCTTTAAGACCCTGAAGTGTCTCCAAGAAGCCAGCAGGAGGCTCTGAGAGCTGCTGAACAAGCCTGATTTTGGCGGGGGATGTTGCAGGAGTGAAGTGGCGGAAGGTCGCGCCGAAGGGTTTTGTTTTGGTGGGATTACTCTCCCATTTATCATGCAGGAAATGATAAAGGGACTCAGGCTTTCTGTTCGAGGACTGCGAGTAGTCTGTTTGAAGTGAGGCCCCGGGTTTTCCGGCTCCTGCGGTGAAGGAAGATGCAGAGAGACCTGGGCAGCTTTCCGCTTCCACCCGGGATCAGGGTCAAAATGATCAGCTCCGGCTTCCAGAGCGCTGAGGATCTGAGCGGAGTAAGAGCCACTGAACTCAGCAAAGGTAAAAAAGATACAGTAAATTACCATAATATACCTAAAGCTACCGTAACCCTTCTGAATCAGGCGCGTGTACTACCGTAATAAACCAAAGGCAGGAGACTACCGTGACTCGCTAAACTAAGGATACACTGTTACTGTTCTGAAAACTGAGGAAGGCTCACCGGACCCGAAACGTTAACTCTGTTTTCTCCTTCACAGATGCTGCCAGACCTGCTGAGCTTTTCCAGCAACTTTTTGTTTTTGTTCCTGATTTACAGCATCCGCAGTTCTTTTGGTTTTTACATTTGAAAGTAAGCTATCCAAAGCAAGGGCACTGGCCTGTGACAGTGACTTATACAACAGACTCTGAGCCATCATCACAAACCAGTTACTTTGCAAATTGGAACAACTGGACTGAGGTTGGCCAGCTATGAAAAATACTATGTTTCAAATATTTGACAAAACACACTGCACTAATTTGAGAATTAAGAGAGTAAATGTTTAAAAAAGGTCACTTACAAGTTCTATTGTCTTTTTATGTAACTGCAGGCTATTTAGAATTACCTATTTTGTTTAGTTTTCCCTGCAATTTCTTTATATTTTCATTTGATGTTTTTCTCAAATTTTGATTTTATTTCCTCAAAGGCTCTAGCTAGGTTCACTCAGGGCAATATATTTTATGTACCTTTTGCCAATTGAGATTGATTAACTTAGTAAAGACTACTGATTGAATCTGATTTCTTCCTCCACGGTATTATACTTGAGATAGTAATTAGTTGAATCTCAAATGAATACATCCTTTTAAGTTGATGTTTCTAGATGATTAGGTATTCCAGGCATGTGTGAGTAGAAGGATATAATCCTATGTGTCGGCTGGAAATTAAAGGGTATGGGACCAGAATAATTACAGGACAATGTATCTTTTCACTTTAAGTAGAAAGCAGACTGCCAACATTGGATAATAGGGAACTGTGTCCATGCAATCCATGGTTTTTTGGCCAAAGGGCAGGTTGTTGTTACTATTGTAATTCATTTCTAATGGGAACTGCTTAAAACATGGTGGTTTCTACTGTATTCTGATTAAAATAACAGCACCTTTGCCAGAATTATCATATTGTGGGGTTTGCAGCCATGGAGTCATACCGCACGGACAAGATCCTTCGGTCCAACCAGTCCATGCCAACCATAATCCCAAACTAAACTAGTCCTACCGGCCTGTTCCTGGCCCACATCCCTCCAAACATTTCTTATTCATGTACTGATCCAAATGTCTTTTAAACATTGTAATTGTACCCACATCCACCACTTCCTCTGGAAGTTGTTTCCACATGTGAACCACCCTCTGTTAAAAAAAAAAAAAAATTCCCTTCATATCTTTTTAAAATCCGTCTCCACTCACCTTAAAAATATGCCCCCAAGCCTAGATCTCCTCCGTCCTAAGGAAAATATACCTACCATTAACCCTATCTATTCCCCTCATGATTTCATAAACCTCTATAAGGTCACCTCTCAACTCCTACGCTCCAGTGAAAATAGTCCCAGCCAATCCAGCCTTTCTTTATAACTCAAACCTTTAATACCAGGCAACATTCTGGTAAATCTCTTCTGATTCTTCTTCAGCTTAATAACATCCTCCCTATAACAGGGCGACCAGATCTGGACACAGCATTCCAGAAGATGTCCTGCACAACATCAGCATGACTTCCCACCTCCTATACTCAAAGGACTGAGCAATTAACACAAGTAAGCCAAGGCTGTACAAAGCTTAGCTTCACTTTTAGAAATCTGGTTTTAATTAGTCTATGGACTTCCATGGTCTTACACCTGTCTATCTCTGTAATCACCTCCAGTGCCAAAACTCTCTACATTCACCACTGACGCATCCCCAATTTTAATCACTCCAGCCTTGGTCTCCATGCCTTCGGCTGCCAACACCCTGGGTCCTTGAATACCACCCCCCTGCCTATTTACCTCGCTTTCCTTCTTTAAGACACTTACTAAAAGCTACCATAAGGAAAAAAAACTGTAAAACTGGTGAATATTACATTTTGGTCCAACTCATCTTGTACACTTTAAAGTGGCGCTCTGGTATACCCCAGCACACCTTCATTCTTCACTTTATTTTTTCTCTGTTTTGACCACATTTTTGGTGACCTGCGTTGAAAGGGTGACTTGGTGATGGGATACCAGCTTTGGTGGAGTTATTTCAGCTTGGTTTCTTATTTTTTTTGAAAATGCTCCTATGAAAAACCTTGGAAAGTATAAGCTGTGAATACAACAGAGGTGGTTGACTATTACCTTCTACAGTGAGGACAGGGCACAGCTGAAGTCTTTGGCCTGTGGAAAGGCCATCAGCCCAATTAGAGGTTCTAGTCACTATGGGTGAACCTGGGGCTTGTTTGCTGTGATGCCCTTCCAGGTTGTAGAGCTCGTTGGATTGACAAAAAAGAATGTGCATCTGGGTAAAGCCCTGGATAGTGGCATGTACCCAAGGATCTGCAGCCTTCAGAGAAGAGGGGATTTTCTTTCTGTGCCCTGATTAAATTAGGAAGGCTTCCTTTAATGGTAAAAATGAAACATGGCGTTTGTAGAGATGAGGGAGTAGAGCTGCCTCGAATCTGGACTGGCTTCCCAGTAGCTCCAGTTTCATGTTGTATAGTGGTAACTTGGGTACAGGCAGTAAATACTGATGCTACCTAGTAAGATGGAAAATCTAGAAGCGTGCAGTAATCTCCAGCAACTCCCAATATTGCAAGATGTGTCCACCTGATTCATCCATTCAGAAATGTTTTAACATCTCCCACTGCACCATCCCAATCATTGCATTTTTGACTCCTACAGACTGTTTCTCGCTATCCTGAATGTGTATCCTTTACATTTGCTGTTTAGAGCTGGGCATCTCCAAGGAGGAAGCATTGGAAGTTCTACAGATTGTGAGACAAGAGGGCTCTGGAGAGGAATCCCAACTGAGTGTGAAGTTACCGTCTGCTCGGACGTACACAGCTCTGGAACTCTTGGAGCAGGAACATGCTCAAGGCTCCATCATCACCTTCTGCTCTGCTCTAGATGAAATCCTAGGGGGAGGTGTGCCCATTGGCAAAATCGTAGAGGTCTGCGGCGCTCCTGGAATTGGGAAAACTCAGCTAAGGTAGGACACCACATTGCACTCATGTGAGTCCCTATCTAATATTGTAGCCATGTCCCAAGCTTAGAACCAATAAGGTACACAATGCAATGCAAATTTTAGAAGCTTTATAGCTTATCATTTAGTTATTTTCCTGCAATCAGAGGATAACTGCTTCATTGACCTTTGTGAGCCTAGTTGGAAGAATGCATGCTTGATTCCACGTCTTCACTGTGTTACTTATCCTGAAAAACTTCTTTCTTAATCAACCTCGCCCCAGATACAGTCAAATAGCCTTTCACCTTTTACTGTTCTGACTGGATCATGAAAAAATTGGAGAGTTCTCTAACAGTGAAAGCTACTGTGGGACCTCAGCAATCCGTTAGTACGCCCCCACACAGAACCTGGTCTTCTGAGCCAAATGCAAGTTTCTTTTTGCACTAAGCTATGCCTAGCCCCAAAGGAATGGTGGTTGTCCATCCCAGCACGCATAGCATGCGTGAAACCCTTCTGTGTAAGAAACAGCAGGGATATTGAGTGGTTTGGAGGGGAAGAGAGTGAAAATGGTGTTGTACACTCTAGTAATTGGAACCAGGTAGATCTTATTGACTATGGGATCCTTGATTGGAGTTATTAACCTGAGACCATCAGGGAGCCCCGGCTAACAGATATAAACAGGGCATTCAGAGTCTCCTCACCGGAGGAGGAAAAAAAATATAAATAAATAAACAGGAGACTCCGAGAGTCTCCTATCTTCAGGGACTGCCTCCAAGCTGGCTGGCCACAGCCAGTGTACTGTGCATATGTAAATAAAGGGTGATGGTGATGGGATACAGGCCTCTGCGCAGTTATTTCATACACATAATGTGACATGAGCGGTCTGTTCCCTGGGACACCCACCAAGACAAACATCAGCTGCACCTGGAGGAGCATCAACTCGGTGAAAGACTCTCTTTGGTCTGCTCAAATCTTGGTGGTTTTCCAGAACAAGGAGTTGACCCTTACTGAGTGTTGCAGACTGACACCCTCCAAGGTCCGGGACTACATGCTGAGGGATGCACTAAAACTTGGGGCAGCTGCCGCCAAGGTGTAGAAGGGAAAGACCATTGTCTGAGGTCTTCCTGCTGAAGGTAAATGGGGGTCTGTTCAGTTATCGAACTCTCGCAGTGTCTTAAATATATGTAAATATTAGTATTGTATGTTTAGGAGAGTTTTTTTTTGGATAGAGTCAAAGTCCAAAGTTTTGTTTGTTTATTTGATATGCACCTGTACAGAAGAGAACTACATTTGTGACAATGTATATATGCAAAGAGACTTTTAATGAATAAAGTGTATTTTTGAAATTAAGAAAAAAAGTGGCGCCCCGTGCATTTACAGTCACTCAGTCTACCGAGATCCCTGTTCTGTTTTCTCCATGTTGTGCAGCATCCAGCTGGTTGTGGACGCACAAATCCCTGAATGCTTTGGGGGCTTGGACGGTGAGTCCGTGTACATTGATACGGAGGGCAGTTTTATCGTGGATCGAGTGATGGATGTCGCTGCTGCCGCTGTGCACCATTGTCACCTGATAGCCCAGTCCGGCCAGGATGAAGGTACGCTGTTCAGCTGGCTGCAGCTGTTCAATAGGCAAACAGAGAGTGAGGGCTTGGGATCTTGCTCCTCATTCTGTGGGATACCAGCGTTAGCCTTAGTCAACCATCACCCTCATCTCATGGGCTCAAGTCACTCATCAGAAACAAGAGTATGAAATTTAGGCAGAAGTGCTGCATTATCTATCAGTTGAAATGCTCAACTGAAGCCTCCTGTTCAAAACATCCTTCAGCACTAAACAAAGAGGAGTGATCGAGTTCTGGGCCAATTTATATTTCCAACCAACTTCATTCAAAGCAGACTGTCTGGTTATTTATCTCAATGGGGTCTTGCTCTGCACAAACAGAATGCAAAGTTTCATTACTTTGTTACTTACAAAGTACTTTATTTGGTGCTTTGAGGATGTGAAAGATGCGAGATAAATGCAAGTTCATCTGATTTTGTGATGAAAATGGAGGGAATGTCAGAGCTGTGTGACAGTTAAGATTAAGAGGAGATGTAAGCAAGACAATGAAAGATAAGTAGATGCAGCAGAGATGTTGGACAGAACCTTCCCTGCCCTGAATATCATGGGCCATGGTGAGAAATTTGGGAAAATTGACTGATGTCTAGTGAGGACCTTTCCAACGTTGAGATTAGAAAGTTGTCACCAAGTGTTGGATGGTGAAACAAAGATTCTCATGAGTCAGTGGCAAGAGGCCTATTGGCACGGATTAGTGCACAACTTCACCCTCATTACTCTGCAGTTCCCTGTTCTGCCACCTGCTGGATAGAAACTAAACACCGAGAATTCCCGACGTGAAATTCAGAGTAGTTTCCTACTGACTTCAGGTTGCCGCTTACCCCGTCATCACCCATCTCAGGGCACACAGCATGGACAGCGACCACACAAACCCGATGTCCATTGACATTGGCATTGATGTGTACCAGCCTCACCCCATCATCATGGCACATCTCCAATCCACTTACAGTACTTTACTGTCCTTCAGTGCTGCCCTTTAGAGCACACCAGCAACTTTTCATTGCACTGCTGCTGCCAGGACAATTTATGTGTATGGACAAGCACCCCGCTCACTTTTTGTACCAGGGAGCATCTTAGCGCTCCTTGCTTGCTCTCCTAGTACTCATTCACTTTATACCCACTTTGATGTTTTGCCTTGCTTTGTCTTTTGGCACCTCACCCCCACTGCCCCCGGCCTGTCCCCACCTGCCAGAGCTTAAAGACATGTAGCCGTTCAATCCAAACTTGCCTTTTAGCACAAACACAAGGCCAGACAGTTTGACGTGGTTTCCAGCAGTCAGAATTCAAAGGGGTGGACAGATTGATGTGTGGTCCCCTGCAACGTCAGTCTGATATGCATCATGTGCCAGCCGCAGACACATTGGATGTGCACCAACCAAATGGCCGAGTCCCAAAGTCTACTTCCCCATGAGGGAAAGTATAGGACCTCTCCACATCCATCCTATCAGGTCTGCTAGGAATCTTGTACGTTTCAATAAGGTCACCCCCATTCTTCTAAATTCCAGTGAGTAGAGACTCAACCTACTCAACTTCTTCACATAAGACAGTCCTTCCACACCTGGTAACAGCCTATTGCACTTTCTCTGGACTGCCTCCAATGCCAGTATATCATTCCTTAGATAAGGGACCAAAACTTCACAGTATTCCAGCTGTGGTCTGACTAATGACTTAGCAAAACCTCATTAATTTTATACTGCATTCCCTTTGAAATAAAGGCCAACATTCCAATTGCCTTCTGTATTACCCACTGAATTTGGAAATTAGCTTTTTGTGATTCATGGACAAGAATCCCCAAATCCCTCTGTGCTGCAGCTTTCTGCAGTCTTTCTCCATTTAAATACACTGAAGAGCGACCTAATTGAGGAGTTTAAAAAGATTAAAGGGAGGTGATTTATTAGAGAGAAAAGTAGTTCTGTTAACTTGGGGAAATGGGAGGCCCGAACGAAGGGACAGAACCTTAAAATTCCAGCCTGATTTTTCAGAAAGTATGTTGTCTCAAAGCGAATTGGAAGTCTGGCACTCTTTGCCCAAATACCTGTTGCAACTGGAGTAGGAAGTTTAAGGCCAGACAAAAGATCGTCCAATTGTACTGTTAGGTTTATGGAATTAAAATATGTAAATGGAGTTAAGACTAGTGAAATGGCAGAACAAGTTTGAGGGGCTGACTGGCCTCCTGCTGTTCCTGTGTGTAGTTTTCTGATTCTTTCAGTAGAAACTAGGTTGAAACTGGGACACTCTTTCTATCTCTGTCTAACTCTGTACATCTGATGTGTGTGCCTGTGTGTCTTAGAGTGTTCCTCTTTTTGTGTGTTCCTCTGTGTCTATTTCTGTCCCTGTCTCTCTCTTTTCTCTTTCTCTTTCTCTTTCTCTTTCTCTTTCTCTTTCTCTCTCTTTTTCTCTCTCTCTCTTTTTCTCTCTCTCTCTTTTTCTCTCTTACTCCCTCCCTCTCCCTCTCCCTCCCTCCCTCTCTCTCTCTCTTCTTTCTTTCTTTCTTCCGCCCTCCCTCCCTCTCTCTCTTTCTCCCTCTCTGTCTGTGGATAAAAGTGTCCCCCTGTCTTGCAGTGCAACGAGAAGCAGCACGGGCCTTCTCTGTCTCCGGAATCCTCTCTCGCATCTACTACTTCCGTTGCCATGATTATGTGGAGCTGCTGGCCCAGGCTCACCTACTCGCTGACTTCCTAGTGGCACATCCAAAGGTATGTTCTGTCTCAGGCTTTGCCTGTTGGGGGAAGCTGGTGATTGAACCCTCTCCTCTCCATCTGTTCAGAGTGTTCAGTTCAGACTGGGCTAGGGGGTGAGGTATGTTGGTTTAAGCCCCTTATTTTACCATGCGTTGCAATGATTCTCAGGATGTAGGCTTCACTGGCATGACCAGGATTTGTTGCCCTCCCCTAATTGCCCTGGAGAACATGGTGGCAAATCACCTTCTTGAACCAAGACAGTCTATGCAACAGAGGTAGAAAGAGCTTTGACACAGCGATAGCGAAGGAATGGTGATATGGTTTCAGTTCGGGATGGTGTGCGCGTTGGAGGAGAACTTGCAGGAGGTGGTGTTCCCAAGTATCTGCTTCCCTTGTTCTTCTCTGAGGTAGAGGTCACGGGTTTGACAAAACTTTAATTTCAGTTTGATCTTTAAGGGAAGGGGCATCTTTGGAAGGAAGACTCAAAGTTATGAGCTAGTTGGCCCTTCTTAAGGATGTAGAAAGTATATTACACAGCAGCTTTAGGGTTGCAAGTGAAAGTCCAAGATGTTGATCAGTGACCAGAAGACCATTTCGGGAAAGTGGTGAACAAAGAGTGAATTACTTTTTGTTATATTATTGCACAGATGTCAGAAAGACATTGTAAGTTTCAGACAGCTAAATGACATGTGACACTCTAGTATAAGAGCTCTACATCTTACTCTGTAGAGTTAGCAGGCAGTTAGAAGATGGTCAACCAACTGGTCGGTCAATCAGTCAACTATGTAGAAAACATAATAATAATCTTAGGCATATAACCTATACTGTATATTGTCATGTTAATGTACCTAGTTAGTTGGTAATATCCTCTAGACATCCGACTCAATAAAAAACCAAAATCTGTGTGATATGTGTCAAACGGGCTAACATAGAAAATCTTGTCACGCTGCTTTTAGGCTAATCCACCTCTTCTATAATCTGGATTGTATTTCATTTTTTTCCCAGCACATGGTTCTCTAGGACGATCCCAGGTATGGAGGGATTGTCTTATGAGCAAAGGCTAAACAGTTTGGGAATCTTATTGGAATTTAGAAGAATGAGGGGTGATCCCATTGAAATGTACAGGAATCTTGTAGAGTAAATGCTGAGAGGATGTTTCCCATCATGGGAGAGTCTAGTACCAGGTAGCATAGCCTCAGAATCAAGGAGTGTCAATTTAAGATGGAGTTAAGGACGAATTTCTTCTCTCAGACTGTTGAGAGTCTTTGGAATTCCTTGGGGGTGGATTCCTTCTGTATATTTAAGACAGAGATAGATTCTTGATCAATAGGGGATGGGGACAGTGGATGTGGCAGTGTTGGATCAACCATGATCCTATTGAATGCTGGAGCAGCCTCAAGGGGCTGAATGGCCTACTCCTGTACCTAATTCAATGGTCTTATGAAAAACCTGTATAAAGCCCTGGTTGGCATCGATTGGAGTATAGTGTCCAGTTCTGGGCACCCCATTTAGGAAGGATACAAAGACATTGAAGAAGATGCAGAAAAGATTCATGTTAATGGTTCCAGGGATGAGGGACTTCAGTTATATCTGTATATAGATTAGGTGAATGAGCAAAAATTTGGCCAGTGGAGTATAATGTGGGAAAATGCGAACGTGTTCACTTTGGCAGGAAAAACTCAAAGCAATGCATGATTTAAATGGAGAGAGATTGCAAGACTGAGGTACAGAGGAATTTGGGTGTCTGGGTAAGTAAGTCACAAAAAGTTACGCAGGTACAGCAAGTGATGCTTATTGCAAGGGGAATGGAATAAAAAATCGGGATGTTTCGTTACATTTGTACAGGGTTTCGGTGGGACTACCTCTGGTATATTGTGAACAGTTGTGGTCTTTTTATTAAATAAAGCATATAAATGTATCTGAAGCAGTTCAGAGAAGCTTCACCCTGGGATGGAGGAGTTTGTTATGAAGAAGGGTTGGACTCACTCAGGAGTTTAGAAGAGTGAAAAGTTACCTTGAAGCGTGTAAAGAGAAGAGATGGAGAAGAATAGAAATATTTTCTCCTGGGGGTTTGTCTATCTTTGGAAACTCTTTTGTCCCAGAGAGCATGGAGGTGGGGATCATTAAATACTTTTAAAGCAGGGGTTTGCAGATTCTTGACAGACAAGGGAGTCAAAAAGTATTGGTGGGGGGTGATGGAGTGCAATTCAGGCCACAGTTGGGTCAGCCATGATCTTTTGAATGGGAGGAGGATCTTGAAGGGTCAGATGGCCTGTTCCCGCCCTTATTTTGTGAGTTATATAGGTACATTGGTGAAGTCAGAACAGCTCTCTTGAGAGAAGAGGAGGTTAAGTGGAGATTTTAAAGAGTTGATCAAAGTGATGAAGGGTTTGATGAAGAATAGACAGGAGAATTTCTTTTTGAGAATCCGAGGGAATGGATTCAAGGTGACTGACAAAAAGAAGCTTTTTACAAGGAAAAAATATTTTTATGTAGTGAGTGGTTGGATTCCTGTTATGTATTGCTTGAGAATGTGGTGAGAGCACATTCGTGCCTTTCAGAAGGGAAATGGATAATTATCTGAAGAGCAAGCAGTTGTCTGGAAAAGGGTGAGGGAGTGAGGTTTAGCTATGGAGCAAGTGGTGGAAGGTGGAATTAGGCTGGATAGATCTTTTAGCCAGCACCGAATTGAAAGGCTGAATGGTCTCTTTCTGTGCTGTAATTCTAACTACGTCTATCAGATGGGGTCTGATCTTCCTCTCCTTTGTAATCCAGATGACTTGAGATACAGTCCAATCTTCCATTAGCCCTTCCGTAACAGGTTACTGATTTCAAATGGTTTGTGTACTTGGAGTCCTAAATATTTCCTCTCCCTGGCAGCCCCCAGTGTCTCACCGTTTAGATACCCCTCTATGGGGCAAGGCAAGTTAAAATCATGAACCCCAAACAAAATAAACACAAAACGTGCTGAGAGTGCATATCAAGTCTGTCTGGGTCCAAACACAAAGAAAGTGGGTTAACATACCAGATCTCAAATGGAGGACTGGATTATGAACATAAGATTCAGGAGGTGGAGAAGGCTACTTAGCCCCTCACGCCTGCTGCACCATTTACAATATTCATGGTTGCTCTGATTGCAGCCTCGACTACACTTTCCTGCCTGCCCTCCCTGTAACTCTTTACTCCCACATCAATTAAAAATCTATCTCGGTTTGAGGCTGCGCAGCAATATCTCTCATAAGCGTATTCAAGCAATGGGTGACAAATACCTAAATCTGAACAAAAGAAAACTAAATGAAGGTATATATCTCGTAATAAAATGAATCGCTAAACAAAGCAGGATTTTAATTTTAAAAGTCAGCTTAATATTGCTCTTATGTGTGCTTGTTTGAAGCCAGGAAATATCTACAGTGAGCACACATTGTCGTCAATGATTGTTGGATTATTGGCGTCAGTGATATATTCACTGACCCAATCTCTGCTGCTCTCTGGGCTGCAGAATTCCACAGTTTAATGACCTTCTGAGAAAAGAAATCCTGCCTCATTTCTGTCCTTAGAAGATGCCTTACTCTGAAACCATTTCCCCTCATCCTTGATACCCCCACAGGGGAAACATCCTCTCAACATCTACCCTATTAAACTCACTGGAATTTTACATGTTTCAATAAGATCACCAATCGTTTAACTAAATTGAAGTGAGTAGAGGCCCATCCTGCTCAACCATTCCTCATTTTACAACCCGCTCACTCTAGAGATCAGCCAAGTGAACATTCTCTGAGGTGCTTTCGATGTAAATATAGATATTTTTTGAAGCATTCTAATCAAAGATGTTATTACACACCTCTGGAGCAGGTGGGGCTTGACCCTGGGCCTACTGGCTCTGAGCTAGGGCACTACCACTGTATCACAAGAACCCTTAAATTATAAATCACTTGCCAAATTTGTAAATGCAAGGTAAGTGAGTAAATCAAGTCGCCACAGTCCCAGAGGACCATAGGGTTGCTCTATATCACAGAGAGACAACTGGTGGTGGTTTAACCTGAGGATCACCACACCTCAGGCCAGGAAACAGGGCCTTCATGGTAATTGTCGGCTGGTGCAAGAATTGAACCCATCGCAAACCAGCCTTCCAGCCAACTCAGCTAACCGACCCCCTGAATTCAGTGTAAGTTTTCAGTTGGCCAGAGTACGTAACACAGGTTCATACTCCAGGATTGAATTTCTCAGCGAGCCCACTAGATGGAGCAGTGTACTACAGCTGAGATGAGATTGGAGTTGGACAGCAGGGTATGAGTGAATTTTTCTTGTGACAATTTCATCAATTTATGCCCAACAGTGTTGACAAACGCTGACTTGAGGTGACACAGCAGTCATGTATCAATCTGCCAGACATTGACTGCTCTGTACAAGAAGTATTTGCCAGGTGTGGGTTGCAATGGACTAGGTCCCTTTGTACTTCCTCAATAAGTACTGTACAGTTATAAATACAGGCTGTTTTGAAATGACATACAGAATCATTGACTTTATTAATTGAAGCATGGAGTGACATAACAAGGAACATATGTTAAAACACAGTTATAAATCTATGCTGAAATTCACAATGCGACATTGAGGGAGTGCTGCACTTTTTTATCTTTGTTCATTCACGGGATGAGGGTGTCGTTGGTTAGGCAGCATTTATTGCCCATCCCTAATTGCCCAGAGGGCAGTTAAGAGTTAAGCACATTGCTGTGGGTCTTGAGTCACATATAAGCCAAACTAGGTAAGGATGGCAGTTTCCTTCCCTAAAGGACATTAGTGAACCGGGCGGGTTTTTCCTGACAATTGACAATGGATTCATAGTCATCGTTAAATTCTAAATTACTGATATTTATTGAATTCAAATTCCACCATCTGCCATGGCGGGATTTGAACCTGAGTCCCCAGAACATTATCTGGATTAACAGTGCGGCGATAGTAGCACTAGGCCATCACCTCCATTTTTGGATGTTAACCCTGTGCCCACTTGGGTAAACAGAAAAGAGCTGGGTAACTGCCTCCAGTGTCATGGTTAACGTTTAATCCTCAATCAATACCACGCAAAAAACAAAACAAATTACTCGATCAGTTTCACACCACTGGCTGTGTCAAAATTGCCAGCTGTGTTTCCAGTGTAAAGACAATGCCCATGTTTCAGAAGATACTTGCCTTGGGTGCAAGGTGCTTTTGAGGTGTTCGGTGGTGGTGAAAAGAGCATCAGCATGGCCAAAGAGCTATAAATGCAAACCTTTAACATTAGTTAGGCTCCAAGTGCATTAGTGTGGCCATTTCTTCAGTATTTGGAATTGCCTCCCCCTCACACAGAGCAGTGGAGTGATCGACAAGGGAGTCGAGGGTTATGGAGGGCAGGCTGAAACGTGGCATCAAGGCCACCTCAGATTAGCCATGATCTTATTGAAATGGTCGAGCAGGTTCAAAAGGTTGAATGGCCCATTCCGATCCTGTGATCTTGTGGATTTATGTTGTTGACCTAAACCCTGTTTTACCAGGTGCGCATTGTAGTGATTGACAGCATTGCGTTCCCATTCCGCCACAACCTGGACGACCTGTCGCGAAGGACACGGCTCCTGAATGGACTGGCGCAACAGCTCATCAGCATGGCCAATGACCACAGTGTGGCGGTGAGTAAAACCTGGCACGGCTTTACGCTTTAAGTGGAATGGGAGCGACCAGATCGATCATGCTAACCGGAGCTCAGTGTCACTTTGTGATTGGATTGGACTCAGCTTTGCACATTTCATCCTCTCCTAAGACGGGATCAAGCTTTGGCAAGCAACTGGATACAACCCTGTGCCTGGACAGACTGGCGTTGACACTTGCTTTCGTTTCAAGCCAGATCATTGCAAACTAGACCTTGTTTCACCTGACCTTGTATTGCTTTGGAACTGGGATGGG